AGGGCAATTTCCCACGTTTGGACCTCAATCTCTTTCAAAGATACCCGAGAGAAAGCCAATAAGAACGGACTGGAGGAATCAAGTCCTCTGCCTTTGTTTCCTGATGCTTCAGACACAGGAGTGCAGCTGACCTAGAGGAGCTTACCACCTGCGTGTTCAAGGGCAGCGTTTTCCAGAACAAGCCTCTACTTGCTGGGTCAGGCCACCAGTGCCCTGAAAGCTGGCGGCCCCCTAGGCACATCTGGTGCATCACCTGGCACTGGAATCAGGAAGAGTGATCCGTGTGTCCCTGAAACACAGTCACTTATGACTCCACAAGGCCACTGCATAAAGGCAGGAGTCCTGCACCGGGAGAAGGGATTAACCTAGGACTAGAGGTCAAGTTCTCCTACTGCAGAATTCCATCTATCAGAATACCAGAACACCAAACTTGGCTTTGTTATGATCATTGACATTATTACAAATAATGAGCCGATTTTGAATCATGCAGCAAGCTTGGTGTGGAAATGTTGCAAAACAGGAAAAGAGGATAACAGCGGACTCTGTCCCACCTTCCCAGTCTGTGCTGGGTACAGACGGCACTGCTGGAAACACATCTCCAAAATCATAATCTATAAAAACGAGGGACAAAACTGAAGATTAGAAACACAGGCAGTGGAAGGACAGGGAGGTGGGGGCAACAGGGTGGGAGACATTGGGAAAAAAACAAGAGAGGAAAAACCAGACTTTCTACATTTTATCCGACAACCTCGGGGGAACTTATTAGGACCCCAAGGACTTCTGAGCTCGGGCACTGGCCCAGCAGCCTCTCACCCGCTACAAAGACCTGAGGGCAATCCGTTCCAACCCCAGAAGAACATGGCTCCCTGAGACCTAAGCTCGGTTCCCATCCCTTGCTTTCCTTCCCTCCGCGCACCCAGCAGCTGAGATGAGGTGGGCTCACGGGGGACACCTCCATCCATGGGCAGTCTGGCTGCTCCTCAAGGCCCATCTCTCTAACTCCTCTGAGGCAGCCCTCGAGCCCAGCCCGAGGAGACTGGGCCGCCGACTCCCACTGGCACAAGGCGCAGTGCAAGTCTTGCCAACAGCAAGTCTGAACGTGACTGCCTCCTCCCTGGGTCATGTGGCCACAGCACAGGCAGAAATAAAGAAGGAAGAAGGTCAAGGTCTCAATGCTGATGGCATTCTAGGGAGCCCCTGGGGCTGAACTTGTGCTCGGACCCCCTTGCCTGGAGGTGAGGTGGGGTGCAGGAGACGAACAGCTCTGGCTTCCCACATAGGATGAAGGTGGGGATACAGCCAATTTTGTTTTGTTTGTTTGTTTTTCCCCCAACAGAGGCACTGGGGATTGAGCCCAGGATCTTGTGTACGCCGAGCACGCATGCTACTACTGAGCGTTCCCCAAGGAAATAGCTAGTTTTATAAATGAACACAGAGGCCTAAGGTTTGGAAGAAACCAGGCTGTTCCAACCAGTTGTTGGACCAAGACAACAAAATGACCGACAGATGCGATGATGTTCTTCTTCGGTCTTTGATGCAATGGATGTGATCACCCTTAACATGCTGGCAAGTGCAGGAGGGACTCAGAAATTGACGGACCCGTGGGAAAAGGGGGCGAGTCTTCTTCTAAACTTTGGACCCATTCTCCTTCCAGGGGTTGCTTAGCCTCTTCCTGCCTAGAGTCAAGGGTAGGACAGCCCCTCAAAGCAGACAGCATTCACCCTGGCGACGTCAAGGAGAGTTTCCAGGGTGCCCTGCTGATCACCCCCGACCTCAGAGAACTGCCCTGGGCATGTGGCGACAACCTTCCAGAAAAGGGTCTAACATTCGTAAGATCTCATTTTGGCAAATCAGTTTTTGGGCCACCACAGGGACTCTGAGGAAATGAAGGTCTGGAAAAGGACCAGCCCCATTTAATTTCAAATTTCCACCACGGACCAGAACAAGCTAAGAAAGGTGTCCCCCGAGTCAGGCCTCTGTGGTCCAGAGTCAGCTTCGTGGCAGAGGCTGGGCTCACTTCTGCCTGGGCACTCACCCTCACTAGACGGGGCGATGGCACTGTCGTCCCACTCCAGGGTGGTGGAGGTGACAGAGTTGAAGGAGTTGAGGGAGAGGCTATCTGAGCCATGGACTGAGCTGGGGAGGCGGTCTTCGAAGTCCAGCAGGTACTGGGGTTTGTAGTAGTCGGGCATGTAGGGGGCCAAGTCTAAGTAGGGGGCATCCTGTGGAGAGAGTGGAAGAGGCAGGTTTGGGTGGTGGGATGCCTAGGTGGGCCCCAAAACAGGGCCTTCCCTGGGTCTGCCTTCACACCCTCCCAGGCTGGTTTTAGTGTGGAAATCAATGTCCTTAAGGTACTCAATCCAGAAATAAGCTGCTAAAGAGAGTAATGCCTGTGGCTCGCAAGGCTGTGGACTCGGGGTCAGCCATGATGACAGAACCTAGCTGGGCCGTCTGACTCCCACGACCTCGTGTACTATCAGAGTCCCTCGTTTTCTCCAGCTTCCACTACTTTTCATTCACCAAGTTCCTTTCTCAGCCTGTGCTGCTGGGGTTGGGACCTGGGACCCAGTGAGGGCGGGACAGCCGCACAGAGCTGGACAAGCCCGAGTCCAGAGGGCACCCGGGAGCCTCGGCAACTCTCCCCAGGCTGGAGCGAGGCAGCGAGCTGAGAGGTTCCAGGATCGCGGGAGGCACAGGGATGAATTTGCCTTGTCTCTCAAAGACTCATGTCCTGAACGTGAAGGAGAACACATCAGTGCTAAAATACTCCAGGCCATGCGGCTTTTCTCCCAGTCGGAACAGAGAGACAGGAAGCAGTCCCCCGAACCAGGAATTCTGGCCAAGAGAGAACCACCTCAATTCCACTCAATCCCACTGGGCAGACCCTGAGCTGTTCCCTCACCTGGACAAACAGGACACCGCTCAGGCTCAGTCACACCCAACAGGCTCGCCGAGCAGGGCCCACCCTGCCCACTCCTCTGCCCCTACAAGCAGCGAGAGCCGTGGTGTCTCACCAGGTCCAGGTCAAACCGAATGAACTCCAGCCCGGACACCAAGGTCAGGAAGAGGGTCAGGTGGTCATGGCTGCAGACCAGGGCATTCCTGCAAGACATGAGAAGGAACGATGGTGATTCTGGCCCTGGTTACCAGTGGTGCCTCACCCTAACCCTAACTCCAACAAGCCAGCTGTGCTGACATGTGACATGTGACATCCCTGCTCACTGGAGGGCACCCAGCTTGTTGCAGCCTTTACCCACCCCCTTCCAGCACTCTCCGGCTGGGTTTGGAGCCACACGGCACTTCTTCAGATACGGGGCCCGCAGCAGCTCTCGGCAGCCGCTATAAATAGTCTGTCCCTGCAGCAACCCCAGCAAAGGCTGGGCGCTCTGGTCAGACCTGAGGCCCGGGTGGAGGAGCAGGCAGAGGCCAATCAAGCACCGGATGCTCACAGGAGCCTGGCTGGAACCCCAGCTGTCACAGGCAAGGCTCCACTGGCTCTCTGGCCGTCACCAGAGCACACCAACGTGTGCTCAGCATGTGCTGCCAGGCTAGGCCTCTGAGGTGGCACCGCGTGGTGTCTGCAGGGGACAAGGCTCAGGGGGAGCTCGGGAGCTGTGTGAGACGGGCCGTTCGGGACACTCACTTGACGTAGTACTTGTGCAGCAGACCCAGGTTCTCCTGGAACAGCCGCAGGTAGCTCTCCAGGGAGTTCTCGTTGAGGGCCAGGTACAGCCAGGCCCGGCCTGCAAACAGAGGGAGGGAGGAACTGGGAGGAAGGCCTGGCGGGTGCTGGCTTTCCTCGGCCCAGCTAGGGCAGAAAGGAAAGGAAGAGTGGCTGGAGGGGAGCAAGCAACCCAACAGCCTTCTCTCTCCTTGGGGTGCCCCTGAAATCTTGATTTTTCCCTGTCAGACTCCAGCCTGCAGGTGGCCAGGAAACTCGGGCAAACAGGGCAGATTGCAAACTTCAAACAGGTTGAAAAATGCAAGGATTCTGCACTGATCCTGCAGACTGACACTGATCCCACTCAGGGAGGGAAGCGAGACCCGTCCTTATGTGCTTGGGCTGGGACTCGACAGGAGCCCTGCTCTCAGCATCTCACTCTCCTTCATCACATCCACGATGCTCCAGCCAACTGTCACATGCAGGGAGAAGAGAGGCCTCGCAGAGGGCGCTGGCGTTTTAACGACACTCCACCGCTGGACACCGTGAGGCATTCGTCCTCCCAGACTGACCCCGAGGCCACACCTAAGCCCTGAGCTACCCACAGGGAGGGTGGGGCTGGTCCCGTCCCCGCGTCAACCTGGTACTACTCACTGCGCCCCAGGTTGGTGGCCACATGCTGCAGCACCTCGATCTGTCTGACGGCCTCTCTCCGGGTGAAATGCACCACGAGCACCCAGTAGCCAGATGAGAGGTCTTGCAGTCTGAGGAAACAGGACAGGAGCTGCTATGACCTCGACGGGGCCAGCCGGGGATGCTGCAGTCAGTTGGTCCACCAGCCTCCGTGTCAGTAGTGAGCTCAAAGCTGAAAGCAATGGATTCCCAGCGGGACCCACAGGCAACCACCAGAACTTCACACCATCATTTCATCTGTTGCTAATCCTTTCCCCAATCATTCATGCCCGCTCAGAGACGATTTACTGGGATAACCTAAGACAGCCTGCGGGCCACTTGAGTGAGACAAATCTCTTTCCGCCAAGGGAAGGAAGAAATAAAAGGCAGACAAGGCTAGGGGCTTCTCCCTGGAGGTTACTCATGGCCTCTGCGTGCCCTGATGTGCAGCACAGTCTTCTCCAGAAATCACCTCCACCTTACCCATAGAGCAGGGCGTGGTCCAAGTGCTCACACAGACGCTGCAGGACCTTGTCGTGGTTCCGGATGGCAGGGGTCTCATCCTCACATGCTGCAAAGTAGCTCTGCAACTGGGAAGGAAAAAAAGTCCCCTCCAGATCAGAGACGGGTAAAGAGGAGTTCTGGAATCAGGAGGGTAGCTGAGAAAACCGGTCAGAGGATACATCCACGTTGACCGACAGACAATCTGCCCCAAACTGCCTGCACCAGCTGCTTATGCTGCACTGCAGGCTCCAGAGGGCACAGGCGGCCTCCTTAGAGCCTGGTCCCCAGGAGGCACTCGGGAAGTGCTCAGCAGGACGACAGCTTGATGCTGGCGAGGGAGTCGCGGTCCACAGGTACGTCTCAGGTATGTCATCAGCCTGCTTCGAGCCAGGGCCACCGAGCTCTATACAACTCTGAGGGCACTACCTGTAGTGTCATGTGCACAAATGAACCCTCAGTGCCCAGTGTGAGTCCCCTGCCCCTGGAGCTGTGCCGCACGGTGGCCCCACTTAGAGCTGCTCCCCTGTACAGACCAAGGGCTGCCGGACGTGGGCACCTGCTCCAACCGCCTTCTTGCCAGAGTGTGACATGGGACACTGGGTTTACCTGAGGAACTCGACAAGGCTAGATACGGATCCAGGCTCACGTCAACCCACCAAGGACACTGTTCCCAGGTTGGGCTGATAGCAGGAGCTTTGGCCAGCAGGCGAGGTGGACGGCCGCGCTGAGCAAACCCCAGCAGGCGGGTGACGGCGAGGCCGGCTCTCTCAGCTCAGCTACAGCTAAGACAGCCCGGGCACCTGGACTGAGTTCCCTGCTACGCAGAGGCAGGTAGAGCCCCAGGAGAAAAGGCTTTCCAAGTGCGTTTCAGCCACACTCTGGTCTGCTGCTGCCCTTCTCACGGCCAGAAGGGGGGAGGACACGCAAAAAAGAACGCTCATCCCAGACACCCGGCTTAGGTTTAAGCTCCTGGTGTTGGACAAACATGTTCTCAAGTGTCAGAGCAGTGGCAGAGACGGTGGCAGCAGCAAGACACATCAACCACAGCAACAAGCACGCGCTCCTGGAGGGATGCCAGCCATTCAGCCCCCGCAAACAAAAATAGCCTCTCTTCTCCATGGCCCAGAGAAAGCCCAGCAGCCCTGCTGGCCGGGGACAGGCCTCGGTCCTGCAGCGTCTGCCCCCCACCCCCGCAAGAGGAAGGCAAAACAGAGCCCCAGGAGGAGAGGTTTCCAGAACTGAGAGCAGTAAGTCTGTGAGAACTGCGAAACTCCCTCTCAGCAGTGGCCGAAGGTGTGCCTGCATGTGTTAGCTCTGAGAACCACGTCGGTGTCTGGCCACTCCCCCCACTTTTAAAGTCAAATTCCAAGTAAATCTGAGATCAGAGTCTTAGATGTTAGAACTGGAAGGATCTTTAGAGAGCTAGTGCAACTCCCTTATTAAAAAAGCAAAGGCTTATTTATTTTCTAGATTATAAAAGCAGCTACACCCACCATAATGCTTGAAAAACATGGAAAAGTTCAAATTTTTATTTATTTATTTTAAAACAAAGAAGGTTAGTCAGGCCAGCAAAGGTCCCTACTGTGATTTTCAGCTAAGTGAGGGTGCCATGGTGGAACTCAGACTCCTTTTCCAGGTCAAGATGCCTTAAAATATATATATTCTGACAGCAGTATTTGCTCACCATTAACGTGTAAGCAACATGGAAGTGTGTATAAACCCAAAGCCCTCCTCTCCCCTGCTCCCTGCCGTCTACAGCTTGTGTGTGTGTATCCTCCCAACTCGTTTCCTGCATATATAGACTAAAAAGAAAAGAAAAAGTGAAATGGGATCATGCTGTATTTGTTCTGAAATTTGCTTTTTCCTAACAGTATGTCACATACGTATTTCCATATCATTAGACACAGATCCACTCCATTTTTCTTTGTTTTACAGCCAAGTATATTCTAACATACTCTGTGCCATGCTTTAATCACTGTTGGATACAGCTACTGTCTCCACTTCTTTGCACTGTATGGAGTGGAAACACGGAGCTGAAGAACGTGCATATTTTCAGCGTGGCTGGGCCTTGCCATTTGCCCTTTTAAAACGCTGGATCCATTTACACTCCCATCCTGCTGGCCAATACTGGATCTAATTAGTCTAACTTTTGGCCAGTCCAGTTGGTGAACAATAGTACCTAATTGTTTTACACTGTACTTGTCTGATCACTAATGCGATGAACATCCTTAATAGTCACTGGTGTGTACTCTTACGTGCGCTGCCCATTCACATCTCTGCCCGGTCTTTTCCTGGTTGCTTGTCTTTTTTTATTGCTCTGTTGAAGCTCTCTGTTAAGGATTTAATCCTGTTTGCTGCCATGTGGGGTGTTTTTGCTTTGTTTTGTTTTTGTCCAGTGTCACTTGTCCTTTAAACTTTGTTTACAGTGCTTTTTTCCCTATTGAGAAAAAAATTTTTAATATAGCCTAATCTGTCGATCTTTTCCTTTGTAGTTTCCCATTTTTCCTGGTCGTCTAATATTATAAAGGCACCTTATTCTTCTATAGCTTTAAGACTTCTTTGGTTTCTTTTTAGTTTAGATCTTTATGTATGGCATGAAGTAAGGATGCAGCTTTACTATTTTCTGGAATGGATAACCCATTTCCCACATTTATTAGTAGTCCCTTACTAACCTGCAACTTAATATGCCACCTTTCTAGACTATTCTGCTTAACTGGCCTACTGTCTATTCCTGTGCCAGTCCCATACTTTTAAGTATTTTCACTTTATTCAACATTTTGATATGGGCAGAATATGGTCACCCCATCTCCCAACTATTCTTCTTCAAAACTGTTTTGACTATCCTGGCACATTCTTTTAGAATAACATATCATTACAATTCCTTTCTGGACTTGGAGTAGAACTATACTGAGTCCAGAGGTTATTTGGGGGGGAAATGGTATTTTTGCAATACTCAGTCTTCTCACCCAGGAAAATGGAATTCTTTTTCCCACTTAGGCAGGGATTTTATATATTTGGTAAGTTTTTCAGCTTTCTTTAGATAAGTCTTGCACATTTCAAGGGAGGCTACATACATACACATGGTATTAAGAATTAGGGAACAGTCTGCAACCAGAAAACAATTTCTGCAAAAAGAGAGAGTATAACTTGGTGGTTAAGCACGAGGGGTCTGAGCAGGACACATGGGTCCAAAGACTGGCTCTGCTACAACAGAGTTGAGTACCTTTGGCAAATTACTTAACCCTCTAACCTTTATTTTTTCTCATCTGTAAAATGGGTTACAAAGATTGTTTAGAGCTGAGCTGTCCAATACAGTTGCTACATGTGACTATTTGAATTTAATTAACTAATTGAGTTTAATTAAAATTAAACAAAAGTAAAAATTCAGTTCTTGAGCTGCACTAGCCCCACGTCAAGTGCTCAATGACCACATGTGGCTAATGGCTACTGTACTGGACAGTGCAGATACAGAACACTGCCATCACTGCAGAAATGTCTATTGGACAGTATGGTTTAGGGGATCAGATGATATAAAGCAGGCAAAAGGCTGAGCATAGATCCTGGTCAGCAGCAAATGCTCAACAAACATTAGCCAAGATTATTAAGAATAATGAACCCACAGGGAAAAAGTTCATTGCAGCATTATTTACAATGGTCAAGATATGGAAGCAACCTAAGTGTCTATTGATAGATGAATGAATCAAGAAGTGGTATATATATACCATGGAATAGTACTCAGCCATAAGGCAAAGCAAACAAACTTAAGAAAACAGAAAAAGACTCAAAGATACAGAGAACAGCTGGTGGCTGCAGAGGGGAGGTGGGTGGAGGGATGGGCGAAACAGGTGAAGG